GAAACTGGGAAGAGCTGGAGAGGACACAGCCTTAGGGCAGGCACCATTGTGCCAGCAGAAAATTATAAACAAGGATTCAGTATTCACACACAAAAATGAGAATGTGGAAACAAAATAGGACTTGGTAATAATTCACTAAGATTCCCTCATATCTGGTGGATTCCAGTACAACAAGCACTGGAAAGAAAGCATTCTTTAAAAAACATGGAAGAATTTTTTTTACTCACCCCCCTCATCAGTTCTAGAGGTTTTATTCTTTTTACTTTCTTTCTTCTCTTATTTTTAACTTTCTCTTTTGTTCTCTTTTTCCTTCTTTTCCTTGTTTTTATTGCTTTTATCTAACTCTATTAATTTTTACTCCTTAATAGGATCCTTTATCTTATTTTTCTCTCCTCCATCTCATCATTTTATTTTTCAAGTATTTTATTTCTTTCATGTTCTCTTTCCCTACCCCCTCCAATACTAGTATTACTATTGTTTTGTTAATCTTTAGATATTTAGTTGACCCAAAACTACTATTGTTGAATTATATCATTAATGGTACTATCACTTTTGCATTTAGTAGTTATTTATTATATGTCAATATAGTCTTGGTGTTTATATCATTATTACATATCTTTTTTTTTTTTTTGAGACCGAATCTCACTATGTAGTTCAGGCTGGCCTTAAATGCACTTTGTAGCTGAGGCTGGCCTCATATTTGTGGTGATACTCTTGCCTGAGCCTCCCGAGTGCTGGGATTATAGGTGTGCACCACAACATGTGGCTCTTTTCTATTGTTAATGGTGATAGAGTGGTAGCTTTTTTTTATTAATTAACTTTATTGGTACATTTAAAGTATGCAATATAATAACATTCATCATTAGGAATTTGCACCTTTACATAATCCATCTTGGTTCTTATTTTTTCCCCATTCCCCTGCTCTCCCTTTAACCCCCACCCCTCCCTATGTACAAAGACTTTTTATATTTTTCCTCTTTCTCATGTTAATTCCATTCCCATATTTCTTTTCCCCTACACCTCCCATTTCCCCTTCCCCTTTGCACCTTTTCTTCCTATCTCACATTATAGCGGCACAGTTTGTAATAGCTAAACCTTGGAAACAGCCCATTTGCCCATCCGTTGGAAACTGGATAAAGAAGATGTGGTTTTTCTATAAAATGGAATATTACTCAGCCATAAAGAACGAGAAAATAGATTCATTAATAGGAAAATGGATACATATACTCCTAAGTCGCATTATATATTATACCCTTTAGTCTTTATTTACACTTTGTTTCTCACACTAGAAAAACTACTATTTATACATATGCATCCTATTTATTTCATGTAAGAGTATAGTCTCAATGTGCATCCATTTATCTATAAATGTCTCTAGTTTCTCATTCTTTAATGGCTGATACTACTCTGTTTTATTTTTTAAAAACCACATTTTCTTTACCCAGTCTCCTTTTCATGGGCAACTGGGCTACTTTCAAGTTTTAGCTATCACAAATTGTGCTGCTATAAACATGGGTGTACATATATCACTGTGGTATGGTTCTTTTAATTCTTTGGGGAAGATACCCAACAAGGGGATAGCAGGGGCAAATGGGACCTCCAATCCTAGTTCTTTGAGTTATCTCCATACTGATTTCCATAGTGGTTGTATGCTATGGAAGTCTACACTGCCACCAGCAATGCAGCATGGTTCCTCTTTACCCACATCCAAGCCAGCATTTGTCATTGATTGAGTTCATGATAGCAGTCATTCTTTCTGGGGTGGGGTGGAATCTCAGTGTTGTTTTCGTTTGCATCTCTCAAATGACCAGCGATATTGAGCATTTTTTCATACTTTTATTTGCTATTTCTACTTCTTTGTCTGAGAACTGTCTGTTCATTTCAGATGCCCATTTTTGGATTGGGTCTTTAAATTTGGGAGGTCTGATGTTTTAAGTTCTTTATATATTCTAGATAGTAGACCTTTGTTTGAGAAAGAACTGGTGAAAAGTTTTTCCCACATTGTGGGTTGTCTCTTCACACTATTGGTTGTTTCTCTTGCTGTGCAGAAGCTTTTAAATAAGAAGAGATTTCACTTATTGATTTTTTTTTTTTTGTGCTAGTTCATGGGTGACTGAGGTTTTGTGGTTTTGTTCATGAAGTCTTTTTTTCCTCCACCTGTGTCTTCACGAATTCTACCTAACCTCTCTTCCAGCTGGGTTAGTGTTTCTGTTTTAATATTTACCTCTTTAACCCATTTGATTTTAATTTAGTGCATGGTGAAAGACACAGATCTATTTTTAATCTTTGGCAAGTTTAAACCCAAGTTTTCCAGCACCACTTCCTAAGGAAGATGTCTTTCTTCCAGTGAAGGTGTTTGACACCTTTGTCAAAGATGAGGTGGCTGAGTGTGTCTGGACTTGTTTCTGCATCTTCTAATCTGTTTACTGGTCCTCAGGTTTGTTTCTTTGCCAGTACCATATTGTTTTTATCAGTAGTTTTGTAGTATAGTTTCAAGTTGGGGATTGTGATACCCCCTACCTTGTCTTTATTGCCTAGAATTGCTTTTGCTATTGTTGGTCTCTTGTCCCAAATGAATTTTTGGATTCTTTTCTCAAGGTCTGTGAAGTATGCAGCTGGGATTTCAATTGGGATTGCATTGAATCTATATATCAGTTTGGGAAGTATGAGGATTTTCACTATGTTGATTCTTCCTACCCAGGAGCAAAAGAAATCTTTCCATTTTCTGATATTCTCTTCAATATCTTTTTTCAGAATGTTGTAGTTTCCAGAGTAGAGGTCTTTGATTTCTTTCATTAGGTGGATTCCTAGGTATTTCAATTTTTGGATGATATCGTGAAAGGAATTGTTTGTCTCACTTTTCTCTCAGTGAATCTGTTTTTTGTGTACAGGGAAGCTATTTATTTTTGTGTGTTGACCTTGAATCCAGCTACTTTGCTGAATTTGGTTATTAAATCTAGAAGACTCTTGTTGGAGTTCTTGGGGTCTCCTAAATAGAGTATCACATCATCTGCAAATAATGACAAACTGACTTCTTCATTTCCTATCTTTATTCATTTTATTTATTTCTCTTGTCCAATCACTGTGGCTAATGTTTCCAAAACTATACTGAACAGGAGTGGTGATAGTGGATAGCCTTGTCTTGTTCCTGATTTTAGTGTGAAGGATTTCAGTTTTTGACGACTTAGCATGATTGGTTTTTCATAGATGGCTTTCATCAGATTGAGGTATAGACTGTCTATTCCAATTTTTTGGAGGGTTTTTATCATAAATGTGTGTTGGATTTTATCAAATGCTTTCTCTGCATCCATTGAGATGATCATATGGATTCTGTCCTTGGCTCTATTAACATACTATAGTACATTTATTGATTTACATGTGTTGAACCTTCCATGCATCCCTGGGATGAATCCCACTTGGTCAGGGTGTATGATCTTCTTAATGATCTGCATTCTATTTATGAGTATCTTATTAAGGATTTTTGCATCTATGCTCATTAGTGAGATTGACCAATAGTTCTCTTTTTTAGTTGAGTCTTTTTCTGTTTTGGGGATCAAGGTAATGCTTGCTTCCAGGAATGCATTCGGGAGTATTACTTCCCTTTCAATTTCATTGAAGAGTTCAAACAGGACTGGCAGTAGTTCCTCTCTAAATGTCTTGTAGAATTCAGCAGTGAAGCCATCTGGACCTGGACTTTTCTTAGTTGGTAAGTTTTTAACTATGCTTTCAATTTCATTAATTTGATATTGGTCATTTAGATTTTTTAGGTCATCTGTGTTCAACTTTGGTTATTGATACAAATTAGGAATCTGTCCATTTCTTCTATATTTTCCATCTGATTGGCATATAGGTTCTCAAACTAGGTATTGAGGATCCTCTGGATTTCTTCCGGGTCTATTGTAATTTCACCCTTTTTGTTTCCAATTGCATGGGTTTGGGTCTTTTCTTTCCTTTTTTTGATAAAGTTGTCTAAGGGTTTATCACTTTTGTTTACTCTTTCCAAGAAGCAACTCTTGGCTTCAATGATTTTTTTGTATTGTTCTCTTAGTCTCCATTGCATTAATTTCCACCCTTATCTTTATAATTTCCTCCCCTGTGTGAGCTTTGAGTTTGTCCTGCTCTTCTTTTTCTAGAAGCTTGAGGTTCAGCATCATGTTGCATCATTGAGCTCACTCTATTATCCTAATACAAGTATTCACTGCTATGAATTTCCCTCATAAGACTGCTTTGATTGTGCCCCATAGATTCTGATATGTTGCATTGTTGTTGTCATTTAATTGTAGGAACTGTCTTATTTCTTCTTTAATTTCCTCTGTGACCCATTGATTATTCAGAAGTGTGCTGTTCACTTTCCACGTACTTATGAAATCCTTGCAGTTTCTTTTGCTATTGACCCTCCAATTTCATTTCACTATGATATGATAATATACAGGGGATAACTTCAATTCCTTTGCACTTACTTAAAATCATGTTCTACGAGTATGTGGTCTTGGAGAATGATCTATGTGCAGCCAAAAAGAATGTGTATTCTGATTTTGTGGGGTGGAACACTCTGTGAATATATGTTAAGTTCATATGTTCAAGAGTTTGATTGAGTTCTAGTATTTCACTGTTTATTTTTTTGTCTGGTTGATCTATTTGTGACAGGGGGATATTGAAGTTCCCCACTACTATCATATTAGTGGTTCTTTGATTTTTAATGTCCGTTAGTGTTTGTTTTATATAGTTGGGCACATTAGTGTTTGGTGCATATATATTTATGATTGCCATCCCTTCCTCTTGGATTGTTCCCTTTACGAGGGTGTAGTGTCCTTTTTTGTCTTTCTTAATCATTGTAGGTTTGAAATCCACTTCATCTGCAAAGAGGATAGCTATTGCTGCTTTTGTCACATGGAGTATTGTTTTCCACCCTTTAACTTTCAGTCTATGAGTTTCTTTCTGAATTAAGTATGTTTCTTGTATGTAGCATATTGTTGGGTTTTGCTTCTTCACCCATTCTGAAAAATGTGGAACACTTCACAAACTTACATGTCATCCTTGCACAGGGACCATGCTAATCTACTCTGTATCATTCCAATTTTAGTATATGTGCTGCCAAAGTGAGCACAGTGGTAGTTTTTATTGGTTCTTATAATATGCCAATATCCAGTATTTCTTTGACTCTATTACTGTTGCTGATTTCATAAGATTGCCAGGATGCCATAGTTGTTACCACTCACTGGATTTTACTGTATGTCAATATCTATCTTCTCTGTGCCATCAACAATACTGCAGTTCATTTCCAGAAAACTAGCCAAGTACCATATATTCTTCCCTCCCCCAAATTAATAGAGGGAATTGAATTTTGGGACAGAGGCAAAGGCCTACACAGTAGTTTGCCATCCCCAGAGTACATCATTGGAAAGCAGACACTAACTAAAGAGATCTACATAAGTGGTACCTCAGTTCACAAACTTAATTTGTTTTACAGTTTTGAGGAAGTTGGCCATGGCTGTGTTTGTTACTTGATGAAGAGTTTGTGAACAGAAGAAAAATGTTGTCTAATACTTTTGTTTGAGAACCGAATTGTTTGTGAACAGAAGCATTCATGAACTGAAGTATTACTGTACTAGAAACAAAGTCTTTCCACCATAATTGACCCTTAACCCTCAACACACCACACACACACACAATAGATAGATAGATAGATAGATAGATAGATAGATAAAATGAAAATAAGGTAAGAAAATGCTTCCAAAATCTCCCAGCACCCTCAAAACTGATACATGTGGCATTGATAGGGAGGAAATCAAAAGCCAAATAGCTGAATTATATGAAGTGATTTAAAAAATGATGAAAAACAGATCAATAAGGTGCTCAGCAGGTTCAAAGATAATAGAACTAAACAGGTAATGAATTTACAGAAGACACTAATTAAAAAGATAGCTGAACTAAACAAAATGATTCAAAACATGAATGACTAAAGAATTAAGTTCATGAATGGGTAACAAACGAAATTCCAGAAGACAAAAAAATTCAACTGAAAGTCTAAGTAGCATAAGTAACAAATGTGAGGAGAAGGTCATAGACTAAAAACCAAAAGATGGAAAACAATATTCCATGCAATAGGAATTCAAAAACAGGCAGCTCCTATCCTATTTTCAAACAAAGTGGACTCAAACCAAAGCTGATCAATGAATAAATGAATTGAAAAGCTGATTCTTCGAAAACATAAAGAAAATACACAATCCCTTAGCAATCCTACCAAAAAAGAAAATACCCATATTAATACAACTAGAAGTGAAAAGTTAAAACTACAACAAACACCACCAAAATCTAGATTATTAATAACTACTTTGAAAACCTGTACTCCAATAAATTGAGAATTCAGAAGAAATGGAGAGATTCCTAGATTCACATGAATTACTAAAAGTGAAACAAGAAGATATAAAAATCCTGAATAATACAATCACCAGAAATGAAATTAAAGCAGTAATAATAATAATAAACTACCAACTAAGAGCAGGCCTAGAACCCAATAGATTCACAAATAAATTCTACAAGAACTTCAGGAAATATCTAACACCAATATTCATCAAACTCTCATGAAATTGAAAGGAGGGGAGTACTGCCAAACTCACACCTGGAAGCAAGCATTAGTTTCATTCCAAAACCAGACAAGAACTCAACTTAAAAAGAAAACTACAGACAAATCTTTTTAATGGACATAAGTGCAAAGATCCTCAACAAGATACTGGCAAAGAGAATGCAACAAATCATTAAGAAGACCATACATCCTTACCAAAAAGCCTTCATCCCAGGGATGCAAAGATGGATCAACACATGTAAATTAATAAATATAATATATCACATAAACAGAAGCAAGGACAAAAACCACATGGAAGTCTCAACAGATTCAGAAAAAGCCTTTCACAAAATCCAACATCCTCGGCTGGGGGTTTAGCTCAGTGGTTCCTCCACCTACCTCACAAGAACAAGGTCCAGAGTTCAATCTCTGGTACAAAAAAAAAAAATCCAACATCCTTTCATGATAAACAAAAACTGAAGAAAACAGGTATAGAAAGACCTTATCTCAATCTAATAAAAGCCATTTATGATAAGCCTACAGCTAATATCATATTAAATTATTAAAAACTGAAAGTTTTCCTTCTAAAATAAGGAACAAGATTAGGATGTCTACTATCAACATTCCTGTTCAGTATAGTACTTAAAACTTCAGTCAGAGCAATCAGGCAACAGAAAGAAATAAAAAGGTTACATAGGGGAAAAGAAGTCAGAATATCTTTTTCATATATGACATGATCCTTTACATAGAACACTGAAAAACTTCCACCAAAAGACACCTAGAACTAATAAACAAATACAGCTATGTAGCAAGATGAAAAATCAGCACACAAAAATCAATAGCATTCCCATACACCAACAATGAACCTACCAAGGAAGAAATTAGGAAAACAATACCATTTGCAATAGCTTCAAGAAAAATTAAATACTTAAGAATTAACCTACCAGGGCCAGGGATTTTGCTCAGTGGTGCCACTGCCTGCTTTGCAAGCGCAAGGTCCCAAGTTCAATCCCTGGTACCAAACAATAATAATAATAATAATAATAATAATAATAATAATAATAATAATAAACCTACCAAAGATTCTATAATGAAAAGTACAGTGCCATAAAAAAAGATCAAAGAGGACATCAGATAATGAGAAAAGTATCTTTTGTTCCTAGTTAGACAGAGCCAAAGTTGTCAAAATGATCATATTTCCAAAAGTGATATATAGATTTAACACAATCCCAGTCAAAATACCAACAGCATTCCTCACAGAAGTAGAAAACAGAATCCTAACATTTATGTGCAAAAACAATCCTGGGCAACAAGAGCAAAGCAGGAGGCATACAATCTCAGATTTCAATTTATGCAATAAAGCTACAGTGATTTTTTTTAAAGCATGGTACTGGCACAAAAACAGACATATGAATAAATGGCTCAGAATAGAGGATTCAGAGAGAACCCCAGGTATATTCAGCCATCTGATCTTTGACAAAGGAATGAAAAACACATACTCAAGGAGAGATAGCCTCTTTGACAAATGATTCTGGGAGAATCTGGGCTATCTACATGCAGAAATTTGAATCTAGACCCATATCTCTTACTATACACTAAAATAAAATTAAAATGTATCAAAGATCTAAATACTTAAACAGAAACAATCTTTTGAGAAATAAAATAGGTAAAACTCTTGAAGACAGAGGCATAGACAAAGACTTTCTGAACAGAACCCCAAATTGCACAAAAAATAACATCAAGAATCAACAAATGAGATAATGTCAAATTTAAAAGCTTCAGGGCACCGAAAGAAACAACCACAGAGTGGAGAAAAAGTTGCAGAATGGAAAATAATTTTTCCATGTACTCCTTTAGAATATATAAAGAACTTTTAAAAATTAGACTCATTGCCAAATAAAAGACCCAATCAAAAATGGGCAACTAAAATGAATAGATACTTCTCAGAAGAAGTACAAATGGCCAATGATACCTGAAAAATGTGTTCAGCATCTCTGGCCATTAAAGAAATTCAGATTAAAACAACACTGAGATGGCACTGTGCCTGCCTTGCAGGCACAAGGTCCTGAGTTCATTCCCCAGACCAGAAAAAAAAAAAAACACTGAGATTACATCCTACACCAGAAAGAATGGCTGTTAACAAGAAATCAATTAAATGCTGGCAAGGCTGCAGGGAAAATGGAATCTTTCTACACTGTTGGTAGCAGTATAAATAGTACAAGCACCATGGAAATCACTGTGTATATCCCTCAAAAAACTAAAACTAGAAATTCCATTTGACCCAGCTATCTCCCTTCTAGGTATTTTCTTGAAAGAATTCAAGACATGTTACAATGGTTCATGCATACCCATGTTTATAGCAGCACAATTCATAATAATTATATCTTGGAAGCAGTCTACAATGAATGGATAAAGAAAATGTGGCATTTATATACAATAGAATTACTAGCCTGCTATAAAGAAGGATAAATTTGAGGTATTTGTACAAAAATGGATGCAACTTCAGGCCATAATGGTAAGTGAAATAAATCAGACATACAAGCTTAAATATCACATAGTTTCTCTTAAATGAAAAGGCTAAAGTATAAATAAATTAAAAAGCAAAATAAAAGACAGGTAATAGGAAACAGGGAGGTAGATATTTTGCAAGGAAAAGGGGGCCAAGAAATGGAGGAAAGAGGGGAAAAGGAAATAAAAAGAATTCAAATGCATTATGTACACATACCAACTCCCCTTGATAATTGTTATGAGCTGCAAACATATACTGATAAAAATTTTTAAATTTTTAAGGGAGGATAAATTCTCTCATGGGAGAATGACATAGTTGTGACATAGTAGGGATAACCACAGGGATGGGGAACAGACAGAATCCTGGGCCCTTATCTGTTGCCCACTAAAGCATGACTTGTGTTTTCTTCTGGGACAGTCATGGACTTAAAAGCCATGTTTACTATGAACCATGACTCTTCATTTGGATCTACAGATGTCCAATAGGTAACTAAAAGCAAAACAAACTTGACCTTCATTTTGTATTCTTGTTACTGTAAATCTTTAGTCAAATCTCTTCTCAGATCTGCATAGGAGTATGTTGATCCACTTAGGGAGTATTTGTCTAAGAGCTCATTGGACAGGGTTGATTAGCCCTGAGTTTACAGGAACTCATCCCCCTTTATGACTGAGGACATCAAGGTAAGAGATTTACAGGGACATTCAATTATGTTCAGAATCCTCTAGCCATTGTCCTAAACCTGTGATCACCTAGGGTCTAGGCTAGACGAGTCTTACAGGACTGAGACCATCATCAAAAGAGATGAACCTTTCCTGGGAATGAAATCATCTCTCAACCATAAAGATTCCAGAATTGCAACACCAAGGCGGAGATAGTAACCAATTATATGCCAGCCCACTAGCTAATCTGTGAAATCTGGCCTCTTGACTTTATGGGTGGGCCAGTTTGAACTCCTGTATCAGAGTGTGCTCCATCCAACTACCTAAACTGGAGTCCTTTCCTATGTCTCCCTCTAACTTTGAAATTAAAGCTT